GAGTTACAGAGCTGTTATTTGGGTTGTGAGCTGCTTGTTGCTGGTTTTGTACATTGAAGATAGAAAGAAGTAAATGTGCCTGCCATGACCACGTTATGAGTTTGTAGCTGAATCTAATCTCTTTACTCAGGTGAAAGACTTCTAAATCTTTCTGTCTTACACTTAATCTTCATTAAATTAATAAATAAAATAAATCTTACACTAAATCTTCAAAGGTCAGATCCTGTGAACTCAACACAAAGGCAGAATACATACACAAGAAAAACTTGCAGGGTCAGGTCTCTCTTGGAGAATATTTCAGAAATAAAAAGGATTTCACTCCTCAGAAATGATTAGAGTTACTGTACAATTGACTTGGGAAGAGAAACTTATACAAAAGTTGTAGCTGAGAAGTGCATCTGTGAAGAGAATCTCTCAGAAAAGGGAACAAAAGCAATCTGGAAAATAATGCAAATTGATGGTATGCTTACAAATATTCCTAATATCAATGCACAAAACAAAATTCAAAAACTCCATTCAATTAATAGACTGGAAATATTCAATCTGCCTTTTAAGTAATAAGCCAATATAATTTTCTATGTGGCTGAATCTTCATTATTAGGTCTGTAACTAGCAGGGCTATTTCCTGAAGGAAACTTCATCTTACTAATTCAAACCAGACAACCACCCTGAGATACTCCTCACGCAGCTCCCACTGCAAGCCTGGGCTGGTATCAGTGGATGTCTGCATTGCAGAAGTACTGTTTGAAAATCCTTGTCTGGACTGCAAACCTCACATTGCTTATAACTGACATATTTTGTATACCTTTTTGCCAACTTTCCTTTCCTCTTCATTTCCTTCTATTTCAAAAGAAAATGATGCCTTCATGCATGAGTATACTCCAGAGTATGCATCTCCAGCAGCCTTTCACGTTATCTGAGGACAATGACATTTTCCCCTGCCATCCCTACCTACAGGGCTTCTAGCTCTTCCTCTTTAGCTCAGGTGGAAGCACCTATGAATCCCAGAGTTTTCCATACTGGTCTTTGCTCAGCTCTAACTTACTCCTCCTGAAGTGCAAATCACCTTCCTCTGCTGCAGCATGTGAATGAAGACAGTACTGCAACAAAAAAGGAAAGGAATGTCATGTACTCAAGTGACAGTGCATTTACCTACCAGCATCAGAAACAAACTGTTCAATCCATATGTTTTCTATCAGTTGTGCAAGGCCTTCCTTCCAAAAAAATAGTATTGTTAGCCAAGAGAAGACCTAAGTTCAGACAAAACTGAGAATTTGAATGGGAGTTCTCTTCTCATGGATGTCATGGCAAAGCTTAAATGGTGCATGTTCAGCTTGTGCAGACAGCAAAAGCCTAAAAGCACTACACACTTCACCAGTCACATGGTGCTGTCTGGAGCTGCTTTTCATGCAGCTCTCATGGGTCCTCAGGAAAAAATAAATCATACATGTAATACTCTTCCCAGCAGACTAAAAGCATTTGCCAGTACTTATAATGAGCATTTGACTCAGCGACTGCAAGTTTTTTGAGTGCCTAAAAACCAGCAAATTCTGATTCTGCTTTCAGTCCTTCCTCTTAGCTTGTGAAGCTCATGTGACTGCATCAGTGCTTTATTTTCTCTAGATGTAACAACTGCCATTACATCTCTTGCACAAATGTTGCAAGGCTTTAATTGCTCATAGTGGTGCCAAAAGATACCTCTCAGTAACAGCTCTTGCTTGCAAATAGTATGCAATTCCTTTTGTTTATTTCAAGTAAATATCTCTTCCTTGGGAGGCTTATAGTGAGGTATTAGTTTGTATTAATGTAATGTGCTATTTCACACATAATGGATGTTGATATATCATACTGATACTGTATCCCATCTTTGTTGGGATGCACAGATTAGTTCTACAATGGAAACTCTAAATCTTTCTTTAAAAATCTCACTTCTGGAAACATGTCTGCTTCTTGCATCATGTACAGATAGGCACAAACGGGATCATAACACTTCAGGTTGTTAGGAATGTCAGAGATCTCTTGTCCAAGATTCTGCTCAAACCAGGGTCATCAGTGAGCCCTGATCAGTTTGCTGAGGGAATTATCCAGTCTGGTCTTTACAGTGACCATACAGCCTCTCCGGGTTACCTGCCTCCATGTGTGATTGTCCTCGTGGGGCAAAGTATTTCTCTTGTATCCAGTCTGAACCTTTGTTTCAACATATGCCTTTTGTCTCTCATTCTTTGGCACACGCCACTGGGTTGAGTCTGGGATCAGTTCCATGAAGAACTCCTCATAAGGACTGGAAGGCTCTGTTAGGTCCCCCATAGCCTCCCTTTCTCCACCCTCTGCTCAGAGCTTGGCCTCCAGCCCCAACCTTCAGTGACCTCTGCAGAACCCCAGGTCTTTAATAACGGGGAGCAAAACTGTACCCAGGGTTGTAAATGTCACCTACTGGGGGCTGAGCAGAAGGCAATAATCACCTCCCTTGGTGTCCTGGCTGCACTGTGTTCACACAGACCAGGGTGCTCCTGCTACCTTTGTGGCCAGGGGCTGTGGCTGGTTCATGTCCAGTTTGCTGTTCACCAGCACCTCTGGGCCTTTTTGTCAGGGCTGCTCCTCCACCTCTACCAGTGCTCAAAGCATGAAATAATTGCCTTGTTTATTTAAACACAGGGATATTGATTTAAAAGGTCTGCAGAAGCATCTGAACCCTGATGTGTTCAAATGCTACAACCAAGATTTTTTCTGAAACAAACCTGAATCCTCCATGTCTCTCTGTGAGCTGGTAGCTTGGAACAGGTCACTTTCTCCAATTTATCCACCCTCAGCACAGGAATATTAACTGAAAGATGTTTAAACTATGGTATTTTCACAAATTATTTCTTAGCAAAAGTTCTTATCAGAACAGCTGGAGAGATGGTAAAATTATGCTTCTTGAAGTGGTTTCTCGTGTTCACAGCCTTAAGCAAAGGTCACTTTTTAAAGACCTAGCTTGTTTAAATTCATGTCCAGTCCCCAACCTGAACCAGCATTAATCAAGTAACTACAAAAAACATGCTTTGAAAGATTCCTCCTTAGAACTGTCATACTTTGACCAAAAGAGCTGAGCCTTCATGGCCTTTGCAAGAGCACTTTTCCTTTACTATCAGAGGATCAAGAGGGAGCAATAACGTAGCTGCTGCTGCATTTTTAAAAATAGCTTCAGATATTTCCAAGTGCAGATAGGGGCTAAACTATCAGAGAATTTAGAAACTCTGACAGTCAGGGTTTATAAGGACAGTTCTGCAGCATGAAATCCTATGAGCTCCAAACGGACTCACAAGTACAGTGGCTTTCACTTCAGCAGTTTAGCTCTTGCAGAACAATATATGAAAGAAAGGCTCTTTCATCTTGTCTGTCCCATGGATGATAGAATGATAAATTGCATCTTATGCTTGACATAAATGTCAATCTTTTGCTTCTCAAACACATGACCTGCACATACTGTATTTTATCTTAAGTGGCAATAAGGACTTAAACTAGAATTCCTCCCCTTTAAAACTCTGTTATATTTGAAACACTGTGGCTTACATAGAACCACAAAAAACTATGACACTTGTTTCTCTTTTTCAGTTCTACTTATTAATTAATGAGGGATTCTTGGGTAGCAGGCATAATAGATAAATACCTTTTCTGCAAACAGATTTCCCAGCCCCTCCTGGGAGATTATAGGGTGGCCTTGGCCAGGTAATGTAACTGAAAACACTACTTGCATTTTTCAAGCTGGTCACAGTCATTTCAGACTTTCCTTAAACATCACTGCAATGCACATTATCTCTGTACTATACACATTGTATGATCTCTTGTCTTTATCTAAATTTCTTTTCTTGTATCTCCTCACTACCATGCAACAACCACCAAAACAACACTGAGGATGCAAAGTACATAAATGTGAAAGCACAGATTGCCAGTTGAGGCAAAATAAGGCAGTCTTTGACTTTCCAAGATGCAGCTATAAATGCAGTATTCCCTTCCTTTCCCCCACCCCCATCCCTTTTGTTATGGCAATACAAGGCACCACACACACATTCAAAAAACTGTTCAATAAGAGGCAAACAGATCATGCTATAATATCTCGTGCTGTTTATCCCACCAAAAATCAGGTATTCTTAACTGAGCACACTTCTCCCTCCAGATCTCAAGATGAAGGGAACGGGCAAACAGCAGATCAAAGGCTCTGATCCCTTTGCTAGAGTGGAGACATGAAATCAGAACCAAATACAAACTCCGAGCGGTATTGCATTACAGGAGGGCTCCTCTCGCTTTTCTTTTCACTCTTATTAAGACAAACGGACTTAAGCCTCCCGCCCTCCCAGCAGACGCTGGCATGATGCGGATGCTGCACGGCCGGTGTCCGCGTTACTGGAGCCGCCGTCCCGGCACGGCGGGGCTCAGCGGCCGGGCCGGGCTGGGCTCGGAGCTCGCCCCGTCCCGGGGGAGCCGAGCGGAGCCGCAGCCCAGCCCCGGGGGAGCCGAGCGGAGCCGCAGCCCGGCCCGGGGATCGCCGCCGGTTCTCCCTCGCCTGCCGGGGGGCGGTGGCGGCGCCTCCGGGGCACAGCGGGGACGAGCGGGAGTGCGGCAGCCCCCGGTACCGGAGCCCCGCGCCGCCGATCGCGGCAGCGCCGGCCGCTCCGCCATGCCGCAGGGGCTCCCCTTCACCCCGGCTCCCCTACCGCTCGCGGCAGCTCGTTGCCAGGGGATGGGGATGGGAATGATGAGGATGAGGATGAAGATGAGGATGGGATGAGGCGGGGGTAGCCGCTCGCGGGGAGAGCAGCCCCCAGCCCCGATTCGAGGGGAGCATCGGCCGTGCTGCCGGGGGCCAGGGGCTCCCCGCTCCCCTGAGGGGACCCGCGGGATGCTGCCGCCCCACCCCCGACGGAGCCGCCGGTGCCCGCGACGCCCCGGCCGGCGGTCGGTGTGTCCGTCGGTCGGTCAGTCGGTCGGTCAGCCCCCCGCCCCGCTCCCCCGGTCCTTACCGCGGTGCAGCGGCGGGGCCGGTCCCGGGCAGCGGGGCAGCCGCAGCCGCAGCCGCTCTTTTGTGTGGCTGCCGAGCGCCGCACACCGCGGCGGGCCCGCCCGGGAACCTGCCTGCGCCAGCGCCCGGGAACCTGCATGGCGCATAGCGCCCGCGCCGCCTCACGGCCCCGGCGGCAGCGAGCCGGGGGCGGCCCCGGGCCCCGCAGCCCCGGGGGCTCGGCGGGACGCACTGACCTGTCCGCCATCCACCGCCAGACCGGGGCCGGGCGCTGGGCCAGCTCCGCGGGTGCCGCACTCCTCAGTGGCGTCCAGCCACAGGACGAGGGACAATGGCCATAAACTGAACACAAGTTTCACCTCAGCGTGAGGGAGAACTTCTTCACACTGAGGGTTGTTCAGCGCTGGAAGAGCTGCCCAGGGAGGGTGGGGCGTGTCCCTCTCTGCGGACACTCCGAGCCCAGCTGGACGCGTTCCGTGCCACCTGCCCCAGGTGTCCGTGCCTCCCGGCAGCTCTGGCTCAGCGCTTGTGTCCGGACACTGAGGGCACTGAGGGGGGCAGGCCGCGGGCCCGGCCCCGCTCCCCTGCCAGCTGCCCTGCCACAGCGAGGTTCCCTGCGTGCCCCATCCCGCGGCGGCACTGCCCAAGGCCGCTCTGTGCCCCCAGGGAGCCGCTCTGGCGCTGGGCTGGAGCTGAGGGTGTTTTCTGGGATTCTCCACAGCATCTCTCTGAGAATAACATTCCTGAATGCCATGTTATCCTGCTAGGTGATCACCTCACCTTTCCCTGCTGCTTGAGGTGCTCCAGAGCAACAAAATCCCAAACACCAAAAGTTTGAACATTATAGCAGGAGACAGCAGTGGACTCAGTCATGTTCCATTATATGACCAGATTTATGAGAACAAATCACGATTTTTGTGCCTTTGTGCAAATAATACATAGATCCACCCCTAAAGTTTAATAAAGTAGGATTCAATGTGTACTATTTAAAAGCTCACTGAAGAGGGTTTCTCCAAGGACATTTCTTACGGTGGATGATAAACACAGTTGGTTCCTCAGGCCTTTTATTAGAAACCTCTAGATCTTTTAAGGGCAGCTAGATGATATTGACTATTTTGTAAATAAAGAAATGCATATCTTAGAGAAATTCTGACCGGCTTTGCTAATAATTATGCAAATTTGAGACAGTAGCTAATCAGCCAGATATCAGTGTTTACTGTAATAGCTGTGGGCTCAGCATGGTGTGTGTTCATTTTGCCCTGGTGTTAGCATCAAGGCACATCCCATGTACATGCACAGGTCCTTCATGGAAACACCATTTTTTAGGGGGAGGGTTTTAGTTTTTTGTTTACTTGTTAAGATTTTTTTTCAGACTCTCCCTTTGCTGCTGAGAGGCTATTTTCTGGCATGGTTTTCCTATGGTGACTTTTCCCATCTGTCCCTTTCTACATCCCAATTACTTGATAGATTTTGGGTTTCTTTTCAAGATACTAAAAACTCAAAACATTACCCAAACTGTAATGCATGTATGTTTTACACAGAACTGCAGTGTATCTGCAGATATAATCTGTAGACAGGTTGTTTAAACATTTGGCAAATGATCTTTTAATTAGTATTATTAATTCTCAAAATTGTTAACTTGATGAAACAGCCTCATATACATAATAAAGTCTCACTTTATCAAAATACCAAAAGTAGTATTTCCAGCCCAATAGGGCAGGTGTTTTTTTAATGAAGTTACTGCAGCTGCAAGTATTGTACCACAACTGACCTCTCAAAGACTTCAGAGGTCCCAAAGGGAGTGGGATATATTTTTTAACTTTTTAAAATTTAAGTTTCTAACAAACATTCTCCCTCCACATCATTTTGGAGACAGTGACTCAGACAGATGGTTATTATGGAAAATTACATACCAAAATTGAAGGTAAAAATAGGGTGCATGATACCAGTCCATGAATATATCTCTCTTACTCTTCAATTTCTGGAAATAATCATTTCCATAAAAGCCAGCCATTGGTGCAGAGCTGGATATTCCCCCTATTTAATGCAAATTGTGCATCACCACATATGCTTTCAGGGTACCTGCAGTTACAAATTAGTTCAGATCTTAAAATCATATTTTGAACCTGTCTTTATTACTGAAAAAAATGCAATGTTAAAAATAAGTAAAAATTTTAATTCAATATGTACTTCATAGAAGATTTTAGTACCTATTTACTATTTTTGCTTTAGCAGTAAGAGTTGAAAGGCCACTTTAGATTAGACCTAGAAAAGTCATTAAATGCTTCAAAATGTATCATTACTTTAAAATGTATCAGAGAACTCCCTCATTTGTGAATCTGTGCTATGAATTTTGCAGTTAGCAATGCTTTTTGACAATATACAAGAGAGTGCAAATGAACATTAAAATTAACATAATTTTATAGATATTTAAGGATTATACAAGACACAAACATCCCTCCTTCACAATAAGATAAATATTTATTTCATAATTTGTTCAAAGTGCTTTGAAAATGCTTGTCCAAGGTGACAGATTTTGCATTCCTAAGTAGTTGAGCTCTTCCATTGTGAAATGTCAGCCCTAGGTTGATTAATTTATACATTGCTGTTAGTTTCCATTTTCATAGTAATTAACTAGTTGAACTTGATGATCTTATTCTGTTTGACAGCCTCAATTTGGCCAACATGCCAACTGCTTTGGTAAAAGAACTGATATTGAAACAATTAATTCTGAGTTCTTCTCTTGGTTAAGGGTTCTTATGTGCAACTAACCCATGTCACAGCACTACAGGAAGAATTCCTTCTAAGGACAGAATCAAATGAAGTGCCAGGGGTATCATAGTCCATACACTCCTAGGGTAAGTCCTCAACTAGATAATGTAAACATCTCCATGTTTCATGGTCTTTCTATGAGAATTCAGCTTGACATGGTAATAATGAAACCAACAGAATTCAGAATGAAGTTCAGGTGCATTAATAGCAGAAGAAGCATGACAGGAAGGGACTTTTTGCAGAATTGCAAAGCTGTAAGGTTAGCTTTCTTTTAAAAAGCATGCAGTTAGTTCTTTTCTCAGCTTTTTAAGTTTGCTTCTAGTTTTGTCTCATCATAAGGAATGGGATTCATTCTGCAGCCTGTTCACCTCCTCCCACCTAGGAGTGACTTGAGGGCTGCAGAGAGGTAGTAAAAAAAGATACTTTGCATCATTTAATTATGAGCTTTTTAGCTGCCTGAGTAATGTTGATGGAGTCCAGAAAAATGTGTCTTGTCTGCCTTAGGCAGCATAAAATGGGAACATGCTTCAACTCAGAGGGGGAAAAAGGCACATGGAGAGATTGGAACAGGGAATTCACACTTGACAAATGGCACAAGCGTGAGAAAATTTACTGGCAAAATACTCCATCTTCTGAGAAGCTTGACATTATCAGAGAAGAAGGTTTTGCTGTTTTAAAAAATCCACCAAACAGACAAAAGACAAAAAACAAAAAAGAGCCTAATTCCCTTCCAAGAGAATCAGGCTCCAGTTACTTGAATCACTGTTGTTCAGAGGTGTATTGTTAAATGTCCCTCTACTGAAAGGAGCAAATCACAGTTCTCTCATTCCCCAGTTTCCATCCCTGAATTTCCACTGGTTTTCTGGGTGTTACTCCCTTCTTATAATCATGGCAGTGACAAAGAGTAAGGCCATGTATGTAAGCCTTGTACCAACCCCTTGCTAAGTCAGAACAACTTGTGAAGGCTGCCTGCCTTAAGGTGAAGGACTACACGGTTGATAGGGGCTGATTGTGTTCCCACTGAAGTCTAAGGGAGTTAAGTTTATGAACAGGAAACTTCTCTTAGTTGTAGCTGTCTTCAGCTCCCTTGGATATTCTCTAAGTCTGTAGCTCCAGAAAGGGAAATCCTCCTGTCCTCTAACACACACCCAGAAAAGTAAGGGGGTCTGATCCCATCCAATTTTAAGAGCTTTTAAGAATATGATCCACTTTTGTGTACTGACTAATTTGCAGAAATAAACTCTCTTTTGCAGGGCTGGGGTTGTGTGTGCATGTGTGTTGATGTTTTCTTGACTTCCACCTTAGGAGTAGTCAGAGAAAAGGTATGAACTGTGAGATAGGAGCAGAGCTTAGATACAAGGAACAAAATGCAGCAGCTGACTTAGAGCTGGGCAACCTCATGCCAGTCAGTCAGGAAAATTGCTGGCTACTAGCTAACAAGTAATACAAGCTTCACAACCATCAGGTGGAGCAAGTGTTTACTTAAAAATGTCTGTTCTCTAGCACTGCCTTGTAGGTGCACAGTGGTGACTAGGAGCGGGGCTGAGCCTCATCCCCAGTGGGTTCAGCTGTGTAGGTCAGGTGAGCAGCACTGACAGCAATGAGCCAGGGAGTGCCCAGGGGCACTGACCAACACCAGAGGGAACAGAGGGCACACAGGTGCAGTGCATCAACACGAGGGGATAAAAGGTTGGGCTGAAGAACAAGAGGAGTAGATGCTAGCAGCCTTCTGCTGTGATATGGTGTTCCTCTGCATGGACAGAGGCCTGAAGCCTTCTGATGAGGTGAGGTGTCACTGTGTATGGGTGAGTGCTTAAAGCCTGCTGAAGTGGCATGGGGATGCTCTGTGTATTGTGGCTGTCTCAACTGTGACATGTGCTGTGACACTACCTCAAGCTGCTTACTCTGTTGATAGATATCATACACAGAAGTCTATTTCCTTCTGACAGGCCAAAGAAATGGAGAATGAGCCATGGGAGAACTGTTTCTGTTGCACCAAACTAAGGGTATTTGGTTTAAAGGCTTCTGTTCAATTATCTTAACAGTGAGGCTTTTAGTATTGGCATTCCTATGCTGGCTCTGCAAAAAAGGTACCTCCTTGTCTTTGACAGAAAGAAAAGACAAAAGCAGCTTTGATCATAGAATCTCTCCTAGAACGGCTGAATCATATTTTAGGGATAAATCTTTCCACATTTCCATCATAAGTGTTAGGTTTTCTAAATTTAAGCAGTTTAGAATTTAGATCACAAACTGCCCTCTAAACAGGGATTTGATGAAATGTAGGAACCATGTGGAATGCTGTGTTTTTCTTAAAATATGACAGAAGGAGTATTTATTTTAAGTA